GAAGCAAATGAAGGAAAGATTTCCTACGACTCTATTTCCGAAATGAAATATTTGGAAAGCTGCATCGACGGTAAGACAAACACTTTTTATATGATTGAAAACTAATTTTCCGAAATGTTGATGTTTCAACTTCATTCATTCATTTTAGAAACATTGCGCAAATATCCAGTGGTCCCACTGCTAACACGGGAATGTGTGAAAGATTATAAATTGCCAGGGACTGATAAGATCATTGAAAAGGGTACAGAAATTTTAATTCCAGCATTTGCTTTGCAAAGAGATGAAAAATACTACGAAGAACCAGATAAATTCATTCCCGAACGATTCAATGAACAAAATTCGATTGGAAAGAATTTGACAAATCGACCTTATCTACCGTTTGGTGAAGGGCCACGAAATTGCATCGGATTAAGACTGGGCAAAATGCAAACAAAGGTCGGACTCGTTTTGATGTTGCAAAAATTCCGCTTTGAATTGGAAGAGAGACTTAAGAAAAATGAAATGGTATTCGATCCTAAAGTATTTTTCCTTTCACCGCTTGGTGGAATCAAACTTCATATCATTAAGCGGTAACTAATTTTAGTAGTTATAATGACGTTATATTTTATATTAATCTTAGCGATTGTGGCTTAATGGTAATAAATTAATAATTGAAAAATAAACGGAATAGACTCAATAATTAACTAAAGTAGGACTAGTTTTGACGTTGTAACAATTCAGATATGACTTGGAAATTGAGCTCGAACGAACGCACGGGAATTAGATTATACGTCTTCAAACGATTATTTTGCTTGTATTATTTCACTAATTAATTTTTGTGCGACTTGCTTGTATTCAATTAATTGAGTTTGAATGCATATTTTACCCATAGTTATCAGTATTTTTATCATTTCACTAGGGAAATAAATGGAACAATTATAAACGAAAGTCTTTTTTGTATAGCTTGTTGAATGCATTAAATGCATATATTATATCCTATGTATACATACTTGAAACTATCAACTATATCATGTAGCAAGAGAACGTGTAGCTTTTCGACCCCACTTGATTTTGCGTTTAAAATTATAACAGTGCTTCGGATTATAGATTTCAAACTGTAAAATGCACCAATTCAGAACTGTTTTGGTAGATGCGATTAACATTGACAGATTAATCAATTGATATTGTTTCGATTTTTAATGCAACTATTTAATATGCTGTTTTTATTTCGAAGCAATCATTGCCTGGAAATGCCTGTGTAATTTACATATAAACGAGTGAGACTCAAACATGTGCTTCTTCAAAACAATACATACACAAGCATCACATGTATAGCAGAAGTCAATAAGTATTCATCACAGAAACAAAGCTGAATAGCGTGCGCATATATTTGTGTTTGCACTGCTGTTATGGCATATACTTTTGATGTTTGTGAGTTAGTGTGTATGTATTGTTTTGAAGAAGAAGTTAAAGTTTTCCTATATGTATAAGGGAATCGGGTTTGTAATAATAATGTTAACACCTAAAGTTAGGCAATTTCAAACCCCGGACATCGAAATGACTATAGTATACATTGCATGAACTTCAAATCAAATGAATCTTGAACCAAGTTGTTACAAATTTAAGATCAACTCTGGATAAGTCTAAAACGTATGTGTCCTAATTAGTCATTGACTAAAAATGTTGCATTTTTAGCGAATTACAATAATGGCTTTTTCAGCATCACAAGTGTATAATAATTTTTTTGCAGGGAATTCAGAGTTGGTTGTATCTCCAAATCAGCCATAAATGGCGAATAGTAAACATGAGCGCAAAGAAAAAACAAAAATACATGCATACACCAACTATTTTTAGCATTCATGATTCTGAGTTTGATTTAAAATGTTCTCACTAGCACTTTCAAAGTACTTTGTATTTGCCAAAGCGTATAAATATCTGTGTTTGTTGACACGCAACGTCAGTTTCGATTGATGCATCCAAGTGAGATTAACGAGTATTTACATATTGAATGGTCATGGTTTTGTTCAGTGATAGTTTGAAAACAGATGCTCTGATAGTTTTTGTTGGAGCATTGACACTATTTTATTGGTTTATACGACGGAATTACACGTACTGGGAACGCAAAGGTTTCAAAACACTGCCCGGTTGTAAATATTTCGTGGGACATTTCAAATCGACGGTCACACAAATTGAATCAATATCGAATATAGTTTTGAAATTGTACGAAACAACAAATGAACCGTTCATTGGATTTTATAGTTTAATACGTCCAACGCTCATGATTCGTGATCCGGAACTTGCTCGTTTGATTTTGATCAAAGATTTTTCGCACTTCCCACACCGTGGCATTCATTGCAATGAAGGTTTTTATTGATTTTTCGTAATCCCTTTGAAAACCACCTGTATTGTTTGAAGTAAAAATGTAATGTAAACTTTTAATTTTAATGAAGATTATGACATACTTTCGGGAAATTTGGTATCACTGCCGCCTGAAAAATGGCGAAACTTACGAGCGAAACTCACACCAACATTCACATCGGGGAAATTGAAAGCGATGTTCCACACACTGCTCGATTGTGGCTCAACGCTACAAAGTCATTTGGAAAAGTTGGCCAATAACGGTGAATTGCTCGATGTACGAGAAATAGCGGCAAGTCACGCAACAAATGTCATTGCATCTGTCGGTTTTGGCATCGATGTTGATTGCATTAACGATCCCAATAACGAATTTCGTGTGAATGGTCGTAAAATTTTCGAATCAACCATCATAAATGCAGCTCGTCGGCTAGTGAGTGTTTTGTTTCCAACTCTAATGGATGTGCTACGAATAAAAACGTTTCACTCAAGCATTGAACGATTCATTGTATCGATTGTAAAACAAAATCTCGATTATCGTGAACAAAATCATGTAATTCGCAAAGATTTTTTCCAACTTTTAATTCAATTACGGAACACCGGAACCGTGCAATTAGACGATGATCAATGGGATACGGTAATTAAAACCGATGAAAAACAAAAACAAATGACATTGAACGAAATCGTTGCGCAGTGTTTTGTGTTTTTCGCTGCAGGTAGAAATTGAAATTGACATTATTTCACAACAGACACTATAAGTTTTTTCATTTCCCAATCAGGTTTTGAGACATCTTCCACCACACTATCGTTCTGTTTGTATGAATTGGCGAAAAATTCAGAGATTCAACAACGAGTGCACGATGAAATCGATCATATTTTGCAGAAATTTGATGGACAAATAACTTATGAATCCATTTCAGAGATGAAATACTTGGAAACTTGCATCGAAGGTAAATTTACCATTTTCATAGCTGTCATTTTCAAATAAAAAATGCGTCATTTTAATACAGAAACGCTGCGAAAATACCCGATTGTTGCCGCATTACCACGATCATGTGCAAAAGATTATCAAATACCGGGAACAGATAAAATCATTGAGAAAGGCGTCGAAGTGATTGTTCCAGTGGCTGGATTTCATAAAGACAAACGATACTATGAAGATCCCTATAAATTCAATCCGGATCGATTTAACGAAGAAAATTCGAATGGAAAAAATCAAATCAATCGCCCGTACTATCCATTTGGCGATGGACCTCGGAATTGCATTGCAATGAGAATGGGGAAAATGCAAACTAAAGTCGGACTCGTTTTAATGTTGCAAAAATTTCGATTTGACTTATTAGAAAATAAACAAAAATATAAGGAACTGGATTTTGACCCGAAATCCATTTTGCTGGCACCAAAATCTGGAATTTATCTCCGAATTTTTAAACGAATCTAAACATTTCAAGTGCTCTTCTCGACATTTTTTTCCGTATACACCATCAATTATTGCATGTGATTCACTATCAAATGGAAAACATTTCCTTCTATTTTTTTTAATAGAATGAATCACTTCAATTATAAAGATTATTTGGAGTGTGATAATTTTTTGTTGTTTTCTGATCAATGGATTTTTTTATAGGCTTCATTATCTTCGTGGCTTCATTATCTTCGTATATGTTGCCAAATTTGCGAATTTTTTTTTTCTCTTTAGAAATTGCAAACCTCTTAAAACTGGTTCATGACCCGTGAATTTCAATTATATTCGTGCAATAGAATAAAATTCCATTGATTGTACTTTTAAATCATGTTTTATTTCCACCCGTATGACTTATTCATATCACAATACATTATACAACCTACAATATTATATACATGCTATGTCGCTGAGATAGCAGTGTTATCGTTCATAGCCACTGATAGATAGACCAACGATGAGAATGGCAGTCTATTGACAAGAGAGAACAAGAAAATGGCAAATCAAAACCACATATGCATTGTAAATTGTCTAGCGCTAAGGTTAGATTGAAAATATTCTACAACATTGCTGATGTCTCTATGTTAATCGGCTTTTTTTGTTTTTATACAATATTATTAACATATCAATTGGAAGTTTGAGGGGATAATACAAAAGTTTTTCGACATCAATTCTTACTGCTAATACAAAGTAAGCTTTTTTGTGCCAAATTTATACATGACAATCAATAATTTTGTATCATTTAACTATCATTTGTAAATTGAAATTCATAGTTATTTAAAAAAAAAAAACGAAAAATGAGTTGAAATCATACTCATACAACATATCTGTCTCTTCGACAGATAGCAAGTATTTTAATTCAGTTTTACAGTAAAAAAGACGGAAAACTTGTTTCTCGTAAAGTGGTTATAAGTTCTTATAGATTATCTTATTTTTAGCGCATATTGGTTTCTTCTCATATGACTGACTTCAAGGGCACACACTCGTATTTCATATACAATTTCACATGCATATATTTCACAGCGCAACTGTAAATTATTGAGAGAAAAAAAACACAAACGTTTTTTCTATGGATTTGTGCACAATGTAATTAATAACAATCAAATGCATTTTGTTTTTCATTTTCGCTAATGATAATGAACGTTCAAATCAATAGGAATATTGTTATCGAAAAAAACTTTGTCATCGTCTGATTAAATTCTACGCTCGTCAAAACACCAATTAAAAGCTTACTACAAATCTTTAAAAAAAACTAAGTAAAATTAATATGAAATAATATATTTGAAGAAATGACCGAAGCACTACTGAAATTGATATAATATTCATACTAATTCAATCAATTAACACGAATTTAATTAATTAACACACAAATCAAACAATATAGTTGCAATCGCTTTGAAATAAAATGTCCAGCTTTGATCATTCTTTCACTTTTAAATGCTCCATATTTTTCACAGTCGCAAAATGAGCGTAGGAGGGTCGGGTGACAATCTTCATCAAGTCTATTACGATTTAAGTTACAAAATATATTACGAACTACATGCACTCAATAAAATGATGAACATAATACAAGACATACAGCCAATAATTAACCCATACGATACTTGAGTGGCCGATGCCATCTTTTTTTTCTTTATTAAATATCGGGAAATTCCAACAAATATGTGAAAAAAACTCCATCCAGGTGAATATTCAACATTGCCACTAGGCATCATACATTTTCACAACAAAATTTGTACACAATTTCGCCAATCTTTGTTGGGTTAAGCAAACTTATTGTCCATATGATAACTTGGTAAACGCTAAGTTGCGTGCCGCCTGAATTAATATAAACTACAATGAATAATTCACCCATGGTGATTCTGAAATCTTTAAATTATTGCCACACGCAACAATTGTGCCAAAATCAAATTCAATTGTATATAATCAGGATTCAGTCTGAAAAAGAATTAGTCTCCGTATAAAATTGAATAAATTTCTCGGTGTCTCTCTCTTTCATTCTGTCCATGCCATTGTGAATGTTATTATTCAGTGTATGTGTTATCAAGTTTGTAAAACGAAACTTTTTATATGTTTGTGTGTCTTCGACTCTATAAATATTGGCGTCTGCCGAAAGATAGAGCTCAGTCATCGAGAATATTTCGACGAAGATAATTGAAAGTGATAAACGTGTTCGTGCATTAAATTCATTGTGTAAATTGAACGGTCGAAGTTCCATTGCCAAGCGATGGCATATTTAACAGATACATGGAAACTTGACATAATTGCGCTGCTGATTGGTGTATGGACATTTTTATACTTTTATGCAAAGCGTCAATACTCATATTGGGAACGAAATGGATATAAAACATTGCCAGAAGTGAGCTATGTATTCGGTCATTTTAAAACTGCCTTTCTACAAAAAGAATATTTTGGCGAACTTTTTGCGCGACTATACAGGAGTACAAATGAACCATTTATTGGTGCCTACTCCATACTTCGTCCGATGCTATTGCTTCGTGATCCTGAGCTGATACAACGGATTTTAATCAAAGATTTTTCATATTTTACCGATCGCGGTGTTCATTGTAATGAGTCGTTTGATCCGTTGTCTGTGAATTTGGTTGGTTTGCCAGGTGATAAATGGAGAAATTTGCGTGGAAAACAATCGCCCGCATTTACGTCGGGAAAATTAAAAGCAATGTTTTCCACATTGATTGCTTGTGGTGCTGATTTGCAAAAATACTTGGAAAATTTGGCCAACACAGATGAGCTACTCGATATTCGTGAAGTGTCGGCGTGTCATCAAACAAATGTAATTTAATATTAAAAAATTAAATTTTTCATCATATTTGTTGGAGTAAATTTAACATTTTTTCCTCAAATTTTGTTTTAGGTGGTCGCATCCGTTGCCTTTGGTTTGGATGTTGACACCATCTCGAATCCAAATCATGATTTCCGAAAGTACGGAAAAAAGATTTTGGAATTGAAAGGTTTCAATGCAATTCGATTTTGTGTTAATTTTATTGCACCAAAATTGATGACACTATTTCGAATCAAGTGCTGTGACCAGAGTGTTGAAGACTTTATAAAATCAATGCTGCAACAAACGTTGGAATATCGCGAAAAAAATAACGTCTATCGCAAAGACTTTTTGCAATTATTGATTCAGCTACGAAATACCGGCACAGTGCAGCTTGATGACGAATGGGAAACGGTGATAAAACGTGACAAGAAAATGAGTTTGAACGAAATCGCCGCACAGGCAATTGTCTTCTTCGGTGCCGGCGTTGAGACCTCATCAACAGCACTCACATTTTGTATGTTCGAAGTGGCCAAACATCAAGGCATTCAAGCACGTTTGCACGAAGAAATCGATCGCGTTTTGGAAAAACACGATGGAAAAATTACGTACGATGCACTTTTAGAAATGAAATACATGGAAGCAGTTATTGAAGGTATATTAATTCTGATATTTATTCTTCTCTCATTTGATTTTATATTGTGATAAATTGAACATTTTCTTTTGCAGAGGCTTTACGCAAATATTCAGTCGCACCGATGCTAGAGAGAACTTGTGTACAAGATTATGTGATACCTGGAACGAATAAAGTCATTTTAAAGGGCATTGATGTTCTTATACCAATATTTGCATTGCACCGTGACGAAAAATATTATGAAAATCCACAAGTTTTCGATCCAGAACGATTTAGCGATGAAAATAAAAAAGGCAAAAACCAAGTCAATCGACCATATTATCCGTTTGGTGATGGACCTCGTAACTGTATAGGGATGCGATTGGGGCAGTTACAAACTAAAGTCGGCGTAGTCATGATGTTACAAAAGTTTCGATATGAACTTGAAGACAGACTCAAAAATTGTGAACTTGAATTTGATCCAAAAGCTTTCTTATTATCACCAAAGGGAGGACTTCAACTATACGTTTTCAACCGATAACACCTTTTTTTTAATTCATTTGCGTCAATACATAAGTACACCTTTTCAAGTGATTCTCATAAACTTTGATCACCTTTTATTGTAAAGGCGAATCACCGATTGAAATACTTCAATTGAACACGATGTAATCAGTTAAGAGTAATAAAACTTTAAATCAATATGTCGTTTATAATTTGTTTTTTCGTTGGATACTACTATCATGTGAATAAGTATTGGCTTGTTGGAATGAAAAGAAGTAAAAACAAACAAATCGATCAAGAAGCTATAAACAGCTCATTAGAAAAAAAACACACCGATCAGAAATTGGTTCAAGTAGTAAGCTGTTCATCACGTGATTTTTAAGTGAAATTTTTACTGCTCGTATCGATGCATAAACGGATGTACGACTTGAATTTTTTAAAAAATATTTTTGACCACCCTCTGAGCAATTTTAATCAATATCACAGAATTTGAACTTAGTTTATATCGACCTTTGCTTGAAAATTCATAAAAACGCACAGAAATGTGGTAGTTTCTGCACTAGACAACAGAGCTGGTATTTTCACTCCGAAAAATTCAAAACTTATATTTGAAATGTAAAAATTCTATGTAAATGTGTGTGCACATTGAAAATATAGACATTGTGTGCGCCGCACACAGTCTGTGAGTACAAAATCTGCTGTGTGTGCGCCGGCGGGCAACAGTTTCATCAAATCTGTCAAAAATAAATTCGAAGCTGTTTCACAGCAGTAGTTCGCTTGTGTTTTTCCACCGATGGCCAAAAAATTACTGTCGTCCATTTGATTGGATTTTTTTCGATAACGTGAATGAAAAATAAACAAAAAAGCTGTTTTTTCAATATTTATTTTTATAAAAACAACGTAATTCATATATGTTTTTTATACAAAATATCGGTAATTGTTTTTTTTTCTCACTACGATCTGAGCATATTTAAAAACATAGAACTCAACAAATTGATAGTTGTAGCTACCAATGAATGAATATATTCTGTTGATTCTAAGGTTGCGAATATAAAAAAACTACTTTATTATCTTACGAACAGTACTCAGTTTTAAAGATTAATTGCTATAATAGGTGTTTTAACATTTATGAGAAAATATAAAAGAAGTGTGTTTCTTTCGAGTGACAAAACAATCAATGTCGTTGCTTTTTTTCATCAAATCCTCTTTCTTCTTTTTCCTTCATTCAACTTTAATTCAAATAAATTAATAATTCTATCCATAAATGTCATTTAAAATCGTTTAAATACAGAAAAATTGTATTCATTTCATTCTGTGTGTCTTGAAATCTTGTTCTTGATTGAAATGTCCCGAATGAATTGCCGAACCGAAATGTCCAATTCAAAATGAAAAATAAAAAATCAAATTTGCTCTGATAAATTTTCTCATCCCAAGTTCTCTAATTCCGATGAACAAACCAAATCAAAAGAAAACTTTCGTGAACACGATACGCCACTTTTCGACTAGAAAATTCATAGATTTTAATTCTTGTTTTGTTTGATTGGTGCATAGAATGTTTTATAGTGGATCGGCGGGTATTTCAAATTGATATGGAAATGAATGCCGTCGTACCGCCTTCGGCGATAAAAACGGTCCACTTAATGCTAGGGCTTTTGTAGATGGTTTGTATGTTGGCAAGTTGATGCGGACAACTTTTAAATTGTCATCATTTTTAATAGCGTCTGCATTTGTGTAATACTCCGAAGATGCGGACGGCATCGATCTACCACGGTTCGCGTATAAATCCACTAGAGGAGAGGAAGTTGTTCGTTTTTCCCGTATTCGCAGTAGGCTTAGGATATTTTTTGTGCCACGTGAATCAATCACAACATTTTGGGCTTCATTTTGGTCAGATCGTTTGATGTCGGCGATGTTGGCCATGGTTGTGTGTTTCTCATTTGGATCATTAAACTCGGTGTCGAATTCGTCATCGGCACTATCTACAATGAACACAGTATCGTTTAGAATAGGTGGTAAATTAATTCGACGCTCACGAATGACTGTTTCATTTTTAATATCACCTATTTTCGGTATATATTTCGGTCGCCTCTGGTTCGGTTCCTCTCGGTCGATGCCGAAACCAAAAAAACGTGGCGCTTGCTCGGATATTAAAGGCAATAATGTTTCACGTGCATAGCGTTCGGCTCGTTGAAATATTTCGCCCAATCGGAATGGCAACAATTGAACATTGAAATAGGAGTTATCGCGTGTCATGCTTGCATCCATCGGAACTTGTTTCATTTTTCGACTACGAGCCGTGGTCGCCTTGAGAATTGGCTCCATTATCTCTTCTTCGGCAAAGACATTCGTCTTTTTCTCGCCATCGATATTAAACGATCGGCCGGTGTGTGGTTTTGGTTGTGGACGATCCTTGAGAATTGGTTCGAATATTTCACCAGGCGCTGCCAACGTTTGTAAGCTACGACTTGATTCGGCTGAATTTCGTTCCAATGAATTTCCATTCTCTAGAGCCGGTTGCCATGGCAAATTTGCCGCCTTATTTGCGTACACATAAGTTTTGTTATTGGTAATTTTATAATTTGTACCTAGATTTAAGACATTCTTTTTCTCTCTCAGTTTGTCCACATCGTCCACACTTCCGCCCCCACTACCGTCAACATTTTTCGGATTGTCCGTTTCGAATGGTGTAAACGTAACGTCATTTTCTTCGGTTATTTCACAAACGCCTGACTGTAATTTTATCGATACGGGATTTCCAGACTCCAGCAGCATGTAATTGCGACACATCGAATAGCTTGCGCCAAAGCTGTCGGTTAGAACAATTTTATTGATATTCCAATGTGGCAGACCTTTGCTCAACCATCCACTGTACGTTTTGTACGTGAGCGAAACACTCTTTGGAAAACCAAGGGCCGGATGTGGAACCAAAATTCTCGATATTACATCACCAGCAAATAGTTCGGCATCATCTTTGTCAGTTATACTGAATGTTTCATTCAATGAATGTTCACCGTGTAGCGTGGCTTCAATTTTACCAATTGTTCGCAATGGCAAATCACTCTCGGACGTATGGATTTCAATATGAAATTGATGCGCACAGAAAGGCTCTTCTTCGCGCGTCACCAAATATAATTGACCACGACCGGTTGATTTATCCGCATAATAGCCCATGTTTCCACATCGTGAGTCTCTGTAATTGGAGTCGTCGCATGGGAAACAATTTCCTTTCAAGAAATCATCGTAAGTGTCACATGGAAAGGCCGGGAACAAGCATTTCGATGCAATTGAATCAATGAAGAATTTATATGCTCGACGATGATTACAAAGCGATCGACCCTCAACAACACTTGGAGCTAAAAACAAAAACAAAAATTAAGCGATGCGAAATAATGTTGATCGTGAAGTGACGTCTTACACCAAATGAAGTCAGTAACAGCACCAACGAAAATATTCGAACAACCAGTTTGAACACGGCCACCATTTGGATAGAAATCTGTTGTGAATAATTAACGCGAATTTTAGTGAATGCGATACTTGGATGGACGTTTAAAAATCTTACCTGCATCTCCCATTGGTTGCCATGAACCTGTGAAAAGATTTTTTAAATCAATTTAAATTGCATCATTCGTAGTAAAAATTAAATCAAGGGATACAAACCTAAACCACCAAGAATCAAGTTTTCACCATTTGAGTGAATGACATCAACGAAATTTGCATCAGAACTGTCTAAACGAGCTCGAATATGTTGTGATTCGAACAGAGGCCCCGCTGGATCCAACTACACGTAATAAAAAACAGAATGAATCAATGTGAAAAAAAAAATGTTGAACGTGAAGAACACGACGTCTTACACCAGTTATTCGTTTTAGGCCAGGTAGCTCTGAACCAGCAAAGCCACTCACGTGCGCGCCCAAGCTAAACCCGATAATATGAACATGATTCAAATTAAGCCCTTTATGCTCTTGAAGGCCTCGCATCAATAATGATAACTGCTTTCCAATTAAACGTGTATTTGCTGCGGCTCTCACATAATTTGGCAAACTAGCTCCAGCCTCCCAATCAACGCAAATCACAATACAATCTTCGACAGCCATTAAAGCGGTACGCATTTCATAGATCCAAACATGATGGCACGCTGCACCGAACCCATGCACAATCACTCTGACTGACATACGATCAAAACCTTCGAATGTCTTCAGCATGATGATATTTTTCATTAATTCCGGCGTCAGGTCAGATGAATTGCTTGGAAATTTCGAATCAATTGGTGTGGCAGCGGTGTTGTTGTTGTTGTTGTTGGTGACGGTGGTGGTGGAGGTGGTGGCATTACTATTTTTCTCTTTGTCATGGCTGAGTTCGTGAAACATGCGACTCATGTTGAGATATGGAATTTCAAGCAATGGCTTGTCAGAACGATTTTCCGTAGAATAGAAATAAAATTTTGTGCCAATCTCTTCTGGCGATTGTGGTAACTGTCGGAAAGGAACAAAATTCGTTTGGAATTAGTTTTTCAATGAAAAAAATTTGGAAATTGAACATGGTAAACACGGTTAAATGCCATTTTACCCTAGACAAATTCGACCAGATTCATTTTAGCCCGAATCTGTTTTTGATCAGAGTGAAATGCCAGTTTACCATCGAATTTCCCATGTGCATAGTTCGGAGTACTTTTTTTTGTTTTTAATGTGAATTGAATCAATGTTTTTCGAAAATTGTCTTAATTTACCATGTCTAAATAGCCAAATGGGCCGCTATCCTCGAAACAGCCCAATTCGTCATAGCATACACGCTTCTCGGCACGCTTGTGCCGATGGTGATATCGATGCGATTTCTCATATTCATACATTGACTGTTGAACTGCATTCAAAATTCGCATATCATCGACTTCGTCTTGAAGCTCTTGTTTATGTGTTGGCCATTTTGCTGCTACATCTGTAAAACCATTGAAAACTTTAATTTATTTGGCGTAAACAAATTCCAGATTATTTTAAAATTCATAACTCGAATCAACCGGAAGGAAATAAAACGCACACAATTTAGTTGGTAAAACATGTCTGAATTAATTGATGGATCTTTTTTTTTTTAATAAAAACCATCTCTTTAAATTATGCTACCCGTTTAGTGTATAGTAATCAATCTGTGTTGATTTTCGTTGACTTGCGGTCAAAGTCCCTTACGCATGAAACGCAAATGAATCTCGGCTCGAAAACTCATTTCATTTTAAAATTAAATGAGAAAAGAGTGTGATGCGAATTTCGCTTGGTGTGAAAGAAGAAATCGAAAGAAAGTTTTCCCTTTCTTTATGTCATTTATATTAGAAGCATGATAAAAAGTAAAAATGAATATATCCGAACATCGACTAGACATTGCGGCGCAAAATCCCATTTAAATTTAATGAATAGAGAAAAAAAACGCAAACGACAACAGCAGCAGCAGCATCGACTGCGATGTTTGAAAAGGAAAAATATCAAAGCACATTATTTAACCTGACCCACATTGTGTGTATGTGTCTATACAGACAGGTGCAATTAAATTCAATCGAAGCACATTTCGTTCGTTGAATTGAGATAGTTTCCGAGTGTTCAAAAAGCATATAGAATATATCGTCGCCGATGCCGATGTAAAAACTTGTTTTCCTATGCTTTTTCTGCTGTTGTTGTTTCGAGTCATTTCGATCGGAAACAACGACAAAAATGTGCTGCATAGACACAAAGCGACTGAGAGTGTGTAAATGTGTAGAGAGCTTCAGACAGTGAAAAGTGAAATTAACGATTGAAATTGCGAAAACATGAATATCAATTAACTGTGATGCTTTTGCTGCGGCATTCAAAGATTCTTAATGGATATCGGCGTTTCTCTCATTTTCATTCGTTTCATAAGTTGAAATAAAAACGCGCACCTCATCCACAATGTCATTTGATTTTATTTACTCAAAATTAATGGCAATGATCTTCCAACGCAACGCAAATCATTTCAAACAAAATGATAAAGAATGAGCTCGAAATCAATGCATCGGAAAATACCACTTTTTGTTGCTTCCATTTGAGCTAAAAATCGCATTCAATTTTCAGTGCGTGAAATTGATCACGCTTTTTAAGCAATCCAGCGGTTTTGATGAAAAACAAAAACAATCAAAACAAAATATGTAAATTTAAGTGGCAGTGTGCAATATTTTTTCTTTTTCTTTTTACTTCTTTTGATCAAAATCATTTCTAAAAAAATACATGGAATATAAACGTTTTTAACCCACATTCGATTTGAGATGCTGATCGTATTGTATAAACTGTTGATAGCGTCAATTTAATAAATGAGCTTCGCATTCAGTCAATTTTCTAAATGATAAAGAAGAAAGCAAAAGTGGTCGAACCTTTGATGTTGCATTTTCACTTGCGTCGCAAATAAGATTCGATATGGTTGTGCACATGCTGCGCAAATTGCTTCTGATTTGCGACCAGTCGCCGTTGTTATGAATTAACCGAACCATTTGTGATTAATTTGAATGAACTGATTGACTTGTTCGGTCATTCGGTTAATATAGACACTTGGATTCGGTTAATCGATATGAATGAGAGTTTCAATTTAATCTTGACGTTCAATCGATTACGATGATTGAAAGCAAAATAATATGTCATTAAATCGCTTTTATTTAATGTTCAATCAATGCTAGATGATACAAAATTATCAATGAAACAACTCAACGCACATCACCCGGTGACTATGCAGCGAGCATACACATCAAAATGAAAAAAATAAAAGAGATCATGCACGCTCAACCCAACCGAACAACGGTGATGACGAAGAGCAAAGCAAAAAACTGAAAAAAAAACTTTCTTTCGATAAATAAGTAGGTGAATCTTTTTACATAAAAACATAAGTGATTTTGAAGTCGCACCAGAAACAACATCGAATCCATAATAATAACGTTGATGGCAATCGAACGATATACGATTCATGGAATGAAAGAAAAAACCTCAAACTAAGCACTATCACTCACAAGCGCGCGCACACACACACCACATTTTCTGAGACAAAAAAACGCATAATTTAAACGACATCACTTCTCTCTTTCAACCTCATCTTGTTCTTCATCTGACTCATTCATTTTTGAAAAATGCATCTTATAAACACACTAAAAAAAGTGTCGCATTTGTATTCGAACTTCACGTTTTTTTATATTTTCTTCATTCTCTTTCTTTAAGCTGCATAGTGAACATGCAATCGATTTTCTTCAAACCATAATTTGTGGAATGCATCGACGCATCATGCTACCGTAAAGTTGTGATTCATTTTAATGTAAAAAATATGTTAAATTTTCCATATTTTTCCAAATTAATTTTTTCGATGCAGTATTGTTTGCTATAAAATAAAAGTTATTTTTCATCGCAGCGATTCATATTCATTTTTTTTTTGTTTTTTTTCTTTGCGGTAAAGTTTTGGTGAATGGCAAAAAATTGGGAATAATGTAAAGGCGGTATTCTTGAAGTTACGTTCACTTTATTGCCAACAGCAGATCGGGAACAATTAAAATGCATCAAATCGGTGACTTGGTGAATGTATGAATTCGCTCGCTCAGCCAAATGTGGATTTATGATGAGAAAACTTGGCCGGATTTTTCGTGATTGTCAATTTTGCTCAATTTCAAAGAGAAAAGCGTCATTGTCGAACGCAATGATTCGTGATTTTACTTAACATTGTCTATTCATGTGCGGTGACATATGTCATTCAAGCATCGTCGAAATAAACAACATTGTGAAAATGACTAATTAAATATTTACCTTCTTTTGTTCAATGCTTGAAATTGACGTGAAACAAGTGAAATTTTGTTCCCGCTGTTTGTGCGCAAGAGAAATGGCGACTAAAACCAATTGAAATGGTGATTTTTAATAAGTCACACTGTTTACCATGTAGTTTTGTTTTTCGTTTGAAATTGTCTATTTGTTCCAAGTTTCGCTGAATCATTTAATTTCAAAGCAATTAATTGTAGAGAGACGCCATCATGTGCCCATAGCAAAATTTTCAATTAACATCAATTGAAATAAACAACATTTGAATAAGTAAAATGATTTGTTCATATTATGGTAATTAGAGGTGGCAGGCCACTTATTATTATTATACGTACGGCATTGTTATTCATTTGGCGCTTTGCCATGCAGATTGCGTGTATTATTTTTACAAAATCTCCGATTTCAATTACATCTTAATTTGATGTGCGTATGCGTCAATTGTTGTCAATAATTGACGCCACAGAAATCTTGATGTGAATCGGGATTGCGCTAGAGATGAAACAAAGGTGAACATACAATAATAAAACTTTGAAGAAGAAAAAAATGCCTTTTGATCATACGGAAACCAAGTTGAACACCCTGTAGATCTATATATTTACAAGAAATGTAAACGAAGAGAGAAACATGGTGGTTCAAGAGAGAAATGGACAGAACTAGTGTGCAAAATTACAACGGCCAAATATGATTTACGTGTGTAAATCGTGTGAATAATAGAGAAGACTATGTAATTAGATGGGTAAAAAAACAATTGACCGAAACTTTGCTGCAATAACGCAACAATTTCAATTCGTATTTTATAAGTGATTGAATTTCAGCATCTAGATTTGCATGACTGATTTATAATCCATCATCTTCGCGTATGCGCGTTGTGCGCTATGCGGTCATTTCGATGTAGCATTGTTTTTATTTCTATTTCTCTCGCTCTTTCTTTATTTGTTTTTCCAAACATAAAACCGTGTCGATGGTTTACAAATCGCACGATGTGTGCCGATAAGTCTGTTTTTGAAGCACAGCAAAAAAAAATAATAATAATAATACAGCATATATACAAAACATCGTTGGATTTGCCAAATGAGTGTGGTAATCGCGATGTTGTTGCTGAAATTGCGATCACGTCTTTTTGTGGGTATGTGCCAGCGATGAAATCAATTCGATTTATGAAATAATGATTTTATGACGAAGTGCAGGCAATTGAATTTAATCAAATTAGAAATAGTTTGCATTTCAAGTTCAAATTAGTCGAAAACGCAATTTTATCGCATTGCCAGCTCTGAGCTGAATTGAGTTGAATTGAGTTCACGGCTATTCATGAATCTTGCTTTTTCTTGCAAATCAAAATTATGTAGCTTCACTCAAAATGTCGTATGCGATTTGTGTGATTTTGTAATTTTATGAAATCCGTCCGGTAAAAACCACAAGGTATGGGCAATAAACTCATTTGCATCATTATTTCGTGATTATGGAGGACAATTCATACAATCGTTCATCCGCATTCGGACACACTTCCGTTAATTTAAAAGCAACAATTCGTGACGTCAACTGCTATTTTAATGGGCAACATTTCCACCAAACTGAAAAATAGTATCACATTGGTTTGACGCAGTTTATTTGTTTTTGTAACGAAAACTAATGTATTCTCAATAGCTTAATTGCAGGTCAGGTTATCTCAAGATCACAAGCTATTATCGAATATAATCAAATATTGAATTATTTTAAGTTATCACTGAACTTTGATTTAAAATTTGCTAATTTTCATTTTTTATGATATATCATCACCTTGTGCAGGGAAATAACTACAATTCGACGGTAACCAAATGCCATTAATCTTACTTTAATATCAAAATATGTTTTTATATATAAAAAAAATTAAATTCGATAAAAATTGTTGCAATTCATCGTTGATGGCAGTTTTTCAGAAAATTATTGAATCTCATTACATTATCTACAAAACTACATAATTTACGTTTGAAAAAATGCCGAAGAAGGAGAAAAAAACATGCGTCAGCCAGCCGATTGCACAATCAAAATCATTCACATTTCACAGAAAGTTGAATAGTCTTTCACTTTGTGTCTTATCCGATGGTAAGTGAAAAAAAAAACCCAGAAAGAAATTTAGTAAAATTATCAACCGACACAAATATTATGTATGCGCACGATCTAAATGTGTGTAATAATAACAAGTCATGCGTTGACCATATTTGTGAATCTTTCACATTTTGTGGATGCCGTAACACGAGTGACAAACACACCGGAACACATATCAAACGGTTATGATGCCGGATTATTTTTTTCTCTTTCTCTCTCTTTTGCATCAGCACTATCTGAAAGCCGATGCAACCGATACTTGTTGTTTGTATATTTTGTGATTATTATTTTTTTTTAATTGTGCGATGTTAAATGTTACTTGTTAAATATCAACCGCACTTAGCGAAAGCCAAACGAGCGATAAAGTGAATTGAGTCTTGAACGAATTGTTTAAACACATTTAAGAGAGTGAGAGATAAAGATATATTGAGTGTTTTGAAAGTGCGCAACTTTACATACATATGTTGTCATTTGTCGCCTGACATGCTCAACAATTAAACTTTCAATGAACAAAACGATGAAAAAAGTCGTTTTTGACGTACAATTGTTTTGTTTATAAATATAACTTTATTTCTTCCAACAAACTGGTTGAGCAGAATGACGGCATTAAGTCACTAAATCGTGTTGTTGTTTAATTTCCTTCAATACGTTGTGAAACGAACTTCGGATTTGCTTCCTACTCAAGAAAAACCTTATACACAAAAAAATATTTCTGTTTTTTTTATTCAGTTGTTTTCCTATAGTTGTCAATGCTTACCTGTTGCTATCGCATTCAACGCAACGATAACCGCTAATATCACATATGAGGTATTCGTACGATTAAAAATGGATTTTATGCAGCCAACTCGTCGCATTTTCGGTCACATAAATGGATTTTGGAATTGTTTCGTCGAAATCGTCGACTTCAAAGTCAAATCTTCTGTTTTCTGTCTTGTATTCTTTTTTACTAATTTAATAAAAAAAAAATACGAAAGAAAAATCGCTGTTTATTCTTGTGTTGTATGTCACTTCACAATGGCTATTGTTTATTCGATTTTCTTATTGTGATGTCAATGACAAAACAAGCGGCTTTCAGTTTTTCTTCGAAATAATTCTTATGAGTATTTTCATTTGTTAATCACGGCATTGAAACACACCTTCTTCTTTAACCACAATTATTTCGATTGGTCTGATTTCATTTTCAACCTTTTTTTACTATAAGGTTTTTCGAATATATTTTTTTTTCTATTGTTGTTCGTTTTCTATCTGCAATTTTCTTTCACTAAACTTAATTGAATGTTGCTTTTGTATTTTCTGCTCTTTATAAACAAATATTTAAATGCATTATGAAGCAATCAAAAGTTTTTTTTTTCGAGTTGTCACCACAAAAACTACGATAAAAAAAATTGTGTACACAAAATCGTCGGTATTTTCATAGAAAAGCAAAAAATTCCGGCCGAAGAAAAATTATCGACGAAGGAATGAGTTTGAATTTCTTTTTTTTCTCTATCCAGCCGCCGATTGTAATCGATTCGGTGTTTTGCAGACCGTGTTTGTTTTCTTCTAAAGACTTTTCGAATTGGAAAAAGCACAGCAGACAAAACGAATGGGTGCTTCTGTACCGTACGACGTTCAACGCGAATCTGTTTGGATGTTTTCTACTTTCACACACCTTATGATCAAGCAGAGACGATGTTGATTTTTCGAACGTGTAGCAAACGCACACGGTTGTGAGTATTTTTCTTATGTTGCTTTTATCTCTCTTTTTTTTTAATAGTTGTTGCTTGCTTCACGTGTTGCTTTACCTGGTTTTTACTTCAACTGGTTGAATTCTGTGCATACATATGCGTTAAGCTCACGTTCGCCTTAGTTTACCTTAGCGCAGCTCTCTGTGTGTACGGCATATACACAACACGAACGATTACGAATGGTTTTTTTGGCTTTCTGGTTGTGTAGTATGCGCTTTCTCTATTCAACCGATGAATCGTTTTGGAGCAGCTTGTTTCGGTTACAGCATTGAAACGAACGCTACATGGTTTCGATTACAACAACAATGCATATTTCCCCCAGTTCAATGTTTATTTTGAGTCTTTGTGTATGTGTGTGTGCGGGTCTGTATCAGCTTGGTATTCTCATCACATTCAAAATGATAATGACTTAACTCTTATCGATCGATCGAAGCCCAATCAAAAGAAAAACACAACGGTTCAATTTTCGTTCCAATGGAATAACGCAGCACTGCAACGTGATAATTCCGAAAAATCTGAAATTGTTTTTTCAGATTATTAATGCAAATTGATATAAAAAAATCTGGATAATTAAATCAACCACTAATTTTAGATCTAATATTCTATCATTACATGCAAGATTCTACGAGAGAACGGATAAAGGTGTGGGAGAGAAGGAAACAGAGGGATAGATATTGTATAGAGATAAGAAAACTACTGCTCCGATCGAGACGTAAGTAATAAATTAGTTCATTAGAAATTCCTTCAATCAACGTTCGTTTCCAATTCTCAATGCAAATTCCCCATTCATTGCAAGGAATAAATTTAAAAGATGCAAATTCATTTCATGTTGCATTTTGTTTAACAACCAATCTAATGTCATAGTAAATAAATATAAATTTCGTTCCTTGATCGCTTCATGAGATTTCTCTTTGCTGGCGACAAGTACGTCTAATCATATATATTTTGATTATATATTTACGTTGAATTACTACTAAATTATATAATGGCATTCAAACACAATTTAAAATACGTTAAATTTATAATTTGCAGTGAATGCGATTTCAATCAAAACCAAAATTGTATTATGACTTCTACCACACCTGTGCACACAATCTATTATTTAATTTCAATTAGCAATGTTGTGGGTTTCGTTGTTGAATTAGGATTTGCGGCGATCACACAATGATTTTATGTGATTGCCATTTGGTACCATAAACATATCATGTTCATGTCGACCGTGTATCAGTGAAGAAATGTGAAATTCATCGTTGATAGTTTCCATCAAACCGACTCGATTTGCATGCTTTACACGATTGCATTAGGCAATTTAATTACTTGTAGCCATGCCATTTCTATTATATTCATAAAACACACGCGGTCGCTATGAAGCAATTACACATTTCAATCATGAGAAGCGGGTGAAAATTGGTAACTTGCCAATCCAATGCACTTCGTACTGGAATCCAACATAATTCACCAAAGTTATGTAAATCAATAGCCTCTTTTTTAATTGGAAAAACACCACAGGGAATCCATAAAAAAGTTCAGTTTTATTGAAGTTCATTTTATGACCTGTTAGAACATCACAATAAAATGTTTTTTTTTTTTTGTTACAATTTTTCCTTTTACAACATTTCTTTTGGAAATTATCAAACATGTAATCAAAATAGGCGAGGTGCCAGGAAGTTTTATTGCAATTCAGTTGGTCATTGTGTTTTTTCTTTGGTTCAAGTTCCTAGATTTGAAGCCCCATTTCTCCATTTCTCCGCGTCTCTTTCATAAGTACAGAGTCTTAATTACATAACCGATATTATCGGTCGAATTGTAGGAAATGAATATAAGCCATAGAATAAAAGATGCATGTTTCTCGAATGTTATGAATGTATAAAACGGTTCTTTTTTCATCAGTTAATACCCATTTAATTCATACGACTAAAATCGAATTATTTGTGCACTCGTGAGTCGTTAACGATAGATTGAAATGAGGAAATGCATCTAAAAGTTGCTTTCTTTCGATGGAATGAAATAAAATGCCTAAAGTGACAAATAAATTGAATAAAAGAGACTTTCATTTCGGTGTATGTTTGCTGCTTTCGAAATGCACCTTTCTTCCTCTCTTCCCTGCCTCTCTAGTTCTTCGTATATCGATTTCCTAATTCCAAAGTCGCCCAAATATGGTACATACCGTCGTCGATACGATGGGAATTCAAACAGCATCGAATTGCGCAACCATTTTTCTCTATATAATATTTTTTTTGCACGAATAAAGGCAACACACACTTGAGCTACCGCGTTCAGGGTAATTTACTAGGCTGCTGTGCGAAATGCTGATTTCTTCATTTGTGCAAAATGATATTACGACACACTAACGGAAGTTTGATGTGTGAAAATTATTCGTGAAAATCGAGATAGAAACATCTAAATAGTTTCCGCGTGTTAATTTGCTTCTCTTTTTTTTCTCGTACAAACTATAAAAAATTAAAATTAAAATGTGGTGGCTTCATGAAAATTTCTGGAGAAGTGAGCAATTATGCAATCGCAAAATCCAATTACACCACATAAAATCGATACAGAGTATTATCAAGATCGTATTAGTTATATCGCCTTAGTTTCAAAACGATCCTCGTCACCATTTTACAACAAAATGCTTTCGACGATGAGAGTGAGAGTAGAAAAAATAAATATGAGTAAAACCGTTCATAGACATCCGACATTGTAATTGCGCGTATCAGTCGATATGTGCACCACAAACGAGATGGAAAATGTAAATTGGCGCATTTATCACTGACATTTTTTTTATAATACAGCCTCTCGTAAAGCTGCAGCTCTTCGAACACGGTTTACTGTCTAACGGTGGAACTTGACTGCATTGTCATATTCGCAAACGTGAAAAAATACTACATTAAATTCCACGGATAATTTTACCAAAGAAAATGCACAGACGTGAATGAAAAAAAAGATCTCTCGTCGGTAGCGTATAATAATGCGACACAGACGTGTGTTTGCCAGACTCGTTTTATGCGCAGTAAAAACACAAACAAGCACAAATAAACTGGCGCATGCTCGTAATTTGTTGAGTGTAGCTTTTTTTCCTGAGATGATTGCATCGCAATGTGATCTTTTATAATTTTGAGTACGTGTTTTCCGCTAATGAGGAAAATTTGGTCATTTAAATGGCACAGTTACCTCATTTATTTTGGTTGTGCCTAAATTCATTGGATTTTTTTCTGTCGTTGTGGATTGAAAATATGAACTGCATAGAGATGCATTTTTGCGGTAATAAATCTTTGTGATTTGAGTCATCAATGGTACTCAGTGTCAAGGCATTGAGTGGCACGTGTACCAAAGACCATATATGCAGTATTTCTCCTTGCATGCTAAGGTTATTTTTTTTATTACGCTCTTGAAAATCTTATAAACATATAAAAAAAATTATCAACTTTCGAAATGTCACAACAAAAGTGCCACTTTCATTGGTTCATATCGATTTATTCGGCCATTCATCTTCGTCTCTTTGAAATGCGTGCATATTCACACGAAACCTTTGTTCGCTTGTTCGTTGTGTTTTCGATTTTCTAGAATTCCGAATGCTAAGCAAATGAAAGACCTCAATGCCAACACTGGCGGCGAAATGACAACAAGCAAAATATAGTCGCTGTTGCTGTTGTTTGCGTCGCATAGACGTGTGAACTTGTAATGCGAACAAATCCAATTTAGATGTAGGTTCGAATTTATTTTCGGACTTTCAATTGTTTGCGTTTTGAACAAAAGCACAAATCAGCACCATTTTGCCAGCTGCGTATCGATACGTTTCAGCAAACACTCTGCCTAATGCACATAACTCTCAAGCTAATAAAATAAAAACGTATTTGCAGTCTCACGTCAAACATAAAACGTCCTTGGTGCGACACTTAACATATCATAACCGTTCATTCACACAAGTTATCGTGTGCACGCAAATATGGAAAAAGTGTCTAGAAAGGCCGTTCCAATCATAATAAAAAAAATCATTCTTTTATAGCATTCAGGTGATTGGCAATCAAAAATTGACACAACCATTTGACAACAAACATGAAATTGAGCAATCCACGAATTCTTAACTAGCATTAGCATTAAGATTAAAACGTTGAAACAGCTTAAAGTGTTTATTCACCTTTCGAGTTTATGAAGTGTTTCCAATGAATTTAACAAATATTTCACAATCGATAAATCAATAAAGACGCATTAATGCAATGGAAAAATGACAAAAGACACATGTTCGAGCAAACGTTTTATGTGTTCACACATTTGAATGTTTTCACGACGATCGAAACAAATAAAATGTCGCATCGATGATGAAATGCACAGTTTTCTATGATATAAAGTGAATTGGTGCTGATTAGTTTAAATGATCGTATTCAGTAGAGTGATCGTGACAATCGATCGCAAAAGACTGTAAATAGAAGACGAAGATATCAGACTTCTACTGAGTTTTAAATGAATCTAATTTCAAAAAATTCACATGGTCCTTTGAACATAGACTAATTTCTGTGTATAGCTTGACAGCACTTTGTCGACACATCATGTGAGATATGATGATATACTATGTTTCGTCATGGAAAATGAAAAAAAAAATTGTTTCAAAACGTGAACGAAACAAACGAAAATTCAATTGGGACTGTTTTTTTCTGTGCGAGCGTAATAGTTTCATAATCGTAGATAAGATCCAATGGTTTTGAAGCTCGTCGATTCAATTTCGCTAACAATACTTGTTTCAAGACATTTTGCAAACGATGTGCATTTTCGCACCGTTTTCATAATTACATACTCACAAAATGTAAAACTCCATTGAAATGGGCTTCATTCATTTCAGATGTGATACATTTCAGTTTTTGTGAAGTCAATGATTAGATAAACACGCGGTACAAGTTTCGGTTTCCATACAATGTGATTGATCTGTGAAAATCCAAATCAGAGGAAATTCGAATGGGCCAAGTAACTTTTGTGTCTGTGCACATTTCGTTGTAATTTGATGCAACCAAGCGAACAGAGAGATTATGAGATTTTTGCTCCCCTGTATTTCAGCTCGCAGAACAGATGATGCATATAAATTATTTTCACCTTGCCGCATGCAATTTTTTTTTCGTATTTCCACGATATTTTTTTTTTTATTCAGTTGTACCTTTCGCAATAACGCAATGGCTCAAATCAACCGTAGTAAAAACAATACCGTTGCAGGCGCACACAGAAGGGGAAAAACTTCAATTTTTTATAATATTTTTTTATAAGGGGAAAACGAAATTTCGAGAGAAAAATCAATGAAGCATTCAAAATAATAATAATAATAACAAACGAAACTATGAACCCGCATTGATTTGTCTTGGTTATAGTTTTCCGTTTGTTAATTTTATGCAAAATTGCACGCATTCAATTTCACATAAAAGCACATTTCGAAGCGCTTCCGTTGTGATTATCATCGATGAATAACCGTACAATACGGTGGAATGAAATGTTGAAAAAAACTACAGTTGTTTGTATATTGGATCACAAACCA